AAGAAATGAAGTACTGATAAATACTAGGACATGGATGATCCTTGAAAACATTCTGCTAAGTGAAAGTGGCCAGATAAAAAGGTCCCATATTGTACGATTCGACTTATATGAAGTATCTAGAATAGTCAAATTCACAGAGACAGAAAATGGGATAGAGGCCCCTGGGGGCTGGGGAGAAGGGGAGAATGGGGGAGTTATCGTTTCCTGGGTATGGAGTTTCTGTTTGGGATGATGGAAAAGTTCTAGAAATGGGTGGTGGTGATGGTTGCACAACATTATGAATGTAATTAATGCTACTGAATTATGCACTGAAAAATGGTTAGAGTGGTAAATTTTATTATGTATATTTTACCACAATTTTTAGAAAGCAAAAAAAGTGTCAAGTTTACAGACTTTTTACAAGTCTTTATTAAACCACACTTCCTGTCTTCTGGTTTCAGGAGGCAGTCCTGTGGCTGGTTGGGAGAAGGCCGGGTGACGAAGCTACAGCCCCTTCTTGGGAACTCTGCTTTGCTGATCCATTTGTGTCTTGTAGTCAGGCTCATCCAGATTAGGATGTGACTGGGATTTGGGGGGCACTTGTGCTCCCCTAAGTCTGAGGCTGGAATAAGGGAGCACTTGATGGCCTTTTGTTCCTGGAATCGTTGATAGCATGGATGGGTGATTCTGTTAGTTTTTTACTTAAAATCCATTCCCCGTTTCTTCTTTGGCTTAACAGAACCTTGATTTTGCTCGGGGCTGCAGGATGTCCTCTAAGTAATAGATCATGAGTGATTAAGCCCATCGTGACATTTTATATCTCTCTTCCTCTTGGTTTTCTGGGATTACTTACCCTTGCCTGAAAAAAAGGGGTGATATAGCTGGTTTTATCTTGTCCTCTTTCTTCTTGATTGTGGCTATGATACCCAGGGTCGTGGCAGTCCTCTGGGACAGGGGGGTGAAAGTCAAGAGGTTGGAGATTCTGCCCGTGTCAGTGGCTTTGAACCAGCTGTCTACCTCCAGACTAAGTCTGTGAGAAAAAGAAGCCTTTCTTTGTTTACAAGAAGCCTAGCTCCTTGTAGTTGGGTTTTCTGTTTCTCGTTGAGCAATGCTGTCTTGTTTTTATTTCTTTCTGTGGGATGCATTTGCCACTTGGATGCACGGAGGCACTGCTTAGTGCCTGGAGTGTTGCCCCTCCTCTATAACTGTCAGATGACTGAGGAATGCACCCTATCACACTGCATCAGTCTTCTGGTCACAGGTGACAGCAAGTCACTTAGACTTCAGCAAACAAAGGGCACTTACTAACTTAAGTAACTAAGAAAACCGGAGGGTGAACTGGATTTAGGGGCTCCGCATCCCCCACATCGGTCTGTCTCAGCTCTGCTTCTGTCTGGGTGGGTGTCTTTCCCAGGTGGGCGTACTCTACAGGAAAGGGAGGAAAAGGGCCCTGTGGCTCCAGGTTTATGTGATTATCAGAGCTCCTACTTCTAGGACAGTAGATGGCAAACTTCCTCCTTAAGGGATCAGATAGTAAGTATTTTGGGCTCTGTGGGCCATAGGTATCTGTAGCAACTTCCCAGTGATGACTCTGTAATAGGAAACCAGCCACAGGCAGTCTGTATACAAAGGGGCATGACTCTTCCAATAAAACTTCACTTACAAAGACAAGTCATGGGCCAAGCTTGGCCCTTAGACTATTGTTTGCTGACTTCAGTTCTTGAGGGAGCCAAGGTCTCCCCTCTAGTGGCTCAGTAGAAGTTGTGGGGAGAGCCCTGTGGTCCAGGGCTGGGACTAGGGTGAGAGCAGTGAGGCCCTCACTGCAGCCACAGAATTTACAGGAGCACCAAAAAACTCAGCAATCGGGAGACCTAACATTTTCATGCAATATTTTTAAAAAGTCAAATTAATACAGAAAAAAAATCAGGACGCTCAAAATAACAAACAGGGTCAGGAGGGAGGGTGGGGTGAGTGAGGCCAATTGTGGCACTCGGCCAGGTGATTGCCCAGTCCGGCTTACCTGTCCAGCGCTGCTGGAGGAGAGGTTTGTGGTGCTGAAGGCAGCTTCACAGGGACCCGGATGGGAGTGCCTCCTCAGGCGTTTTGTCCTCCAGAGTATCTAGGCATCTCTTATAGCCCAGCGAGCCTGTTAGAAACTTTGCCAGAGGGCCTGTGGTGTTAGCCCCCCTCTGTTAACAAGTACCCCCGGAGGTGGTTTGCATCAACAGCCCCTTCAAGGCTCTTGTTCATGTGCGCAAATGGCGTTCAGGCGTCTGGAGAACCAGAAGCCCTCACCCATTTCTGGAATGAGCCTCTGGTTTCATAGCAGCAAGAGATCAGTGTATTGCCCCAAATTAAATTACAGACGCTGTAAGCGTTAAGTGGCAGGTGAGCTGCACTTGAGAAAGACCACATTAATGCTGGCAGTGGAAGTGGACCCCTGCTGGGGTAATTCTCACCCTCGCTGCATCACTTTGGCAGGCTGGGGAAGGATCCTGTAGCACTAAGCAATTTGCAAATTGAAAGGTGAAAACACACGTTAAGTGTTTCATGTGCATTCAAGGTCAGAGGGAGGTCACAGCAGTTCTCCAGAAAGACCAGATGCAGGTGAGAGTCACCTGATTTGAGTCATGCCAGAGCTACAGATGGTTGTTTGGCATGTTTTGAAACAAGTTATTGGCCTGCCGGCCCCGGATATTGCTCTCACTATTCCCCCCGTCCTGGTTTCTGAGAAAAGCACTGAGTGGAAGAAAGGCCGTTACACATTTGTGTGGTCTGGGCTGATCTCCTGGGTTTGGGAAGGGGATTTGTGTGGCATTTAGGGATTGAGACAGAAAGGAGTCCTGAGTGAGCTGCTGTGTTGGTTTTTCCAGTCATTCCTGAACTGTTTATTTAAACTGATCCCAGAGGTCGGCTTGATCCATAGATACACGTATGTATGCATTTAGTTGCTGTTAACAGGAAAAGGAGAAGAGGAAACAACACAGTTGCTCTCGTTTGAGAAGATTGTCATTAGGCAGATGGCGGTTGGTCATCATGGCCTGGCCATCGTGCTCAGGCTCTCCTTCCCTTTTCTTCAGTCACCCCAGGATCTCTGGGTGCTTCTGTACTTTGGGGCTTATTTGATGGGAGAGGAATCGGAAGTGTAGCATGACCGAGTGAGCCGCCAGGGTCATTCTCTTGATTGATCTCTTCACTGTCGTCCAGCCTGCTAGACTGGAAGCTTCGTTAGGGATGAACCCTTGTTGTCTACCTGGTAGCCCACAGCTTTGCCCAGTCCATGGCTTCCATTAAGAATGCAGTCCATGCTAACTGAGCTGAACTGAATTATTTGAGTGAATTTGCTAACCCGGTGTCCAGTTTATGGAGATGTGTGTGTTTACATTCTTTAGAAGGAAGCTTGAAAGATTCTGTCTCTCAGAGGGGTCTATGAGCCTTTTGAGCTCCTGGCTTAGAATCCCCATCTGGCAGCAAAGACTCAGCAGTGTCTCCCTTGGGATATTAAGCAGTTGTGAACATGATCTTCTTGAAGAGGGTAGAGCCGTCTGTCACCACACAAGGCTGCCTGAGCTAGTGCTTTGCAGTCAGGCAGCTCCGAGGTCCCATTCTGCCCTACAGCTTACTAACTGCTTACCACTGGGCCAAGTTACTGCCTTGGCCAGGCCTCTGCCCTCGTCTTTGATATGGAGATGACCTTGGTGCTTATGAGGACTGAGGTCAGATGTCAAGTCTTGAGTGCAGTGGCGGGTACTTTGCTAGTGCTTCGCACACAGCAGCGCTTGCTGGTGTTGCTGGTTATTGGCAGCATGGAACAGGTTTGATGAGCATATGTGAAGACAGTGGATCACAAAATGAGGTTTATACTAGAATGAAAATTATGAAAACAATCTCTGTGCGTGTGGATGAAAAAGGTGGGATGTGAGGAGATCCAATAACTACCTTGTGGATAAAAAAAAACTTTTTAAGCTTTCCCTTAAAGCCTTAAATCTGTTCCTATTCGCAGACATATGGAAATCCGTTCTAAGGAGCTAGAAATGAGGACAGTTATGGACAAGGAGGTTCAAAGCAGTATGTAGGGAAGATTGGCAATATATCATGTTCCCAGAGGTAGAGAAATGGTTAAAATATGTTTCATTGGGAAGCCATAAAAAATCATGTTTTCAAAGATCTTTATTTTTTAAAAAAATTTGAAAAAGAGGGCGCCTGGGTGGCTCAGTTGGTTAAGCGACTGCCTTCGGCTCAGGTCATGATCCTGGAGTCCCTGGATCAAGTCCCGCATCGGGCTCCCTGCTCTGCACTCCCTCTGACCCTCCCGACCCTCCCCCCTCTCATGTGCTCTCTCTCTCAGTCTCTCCCTCTCAAATAAATAAATAAAATCTTTAAAAAAAAAAATTTGAGGGGCGCCTGGGTGGCTCAGTTGGTTAAGCGACTGCCTTCGGCTCAGGTCATGATCCTGGAGTCCCGGGATCGAGTCCCGCATCGGGCTCCCTGCTCGGCAGGGAGTCTGCTTCTCCCTCTGACCCTCCTCCCTCTCATGCTCTCTGTATCTCATTCTCTCTGTCTCAAATAAATAAATAAAATCTTTAAAAAAAAAAAAAAAAAAATTTGAAAAAGATTTTATTTATTTATTTGAGATAGAGCAAGAGAGAGAGAGCCATGAGTGGGGGAAGGGGGTGGGGTGGGGGAGGGCAGAGGGAGAAGCAGACTCCCCGCTGAGCAGGGGTCCTGACTCGGGGCTCGATCCCAGGACTCTGGGATCATGACCAGAGCTGAAGGCAGACGCTGAACTGACTGAGCCACCCAGGCGCCCCCACGTTTTCAAAGATCTTTAAACATTACAGCAAAATGTTCATGATCTAGACAAGTAAAGAAACCCAGATGTGAAATTATACTCTTCAGTGTCTTCCTTTTCTGTGCTGAGGAAGTAACTCTTATGATCCTGAAAAATGCCTAGGGACTGTCACTCTAAAACGATGCATGTCCCAGGCTGAGTGCCATCGTGCCCGTCCCTCTCCCTGCAGAGCCCGTGTTCTGGTTCTACGTGAAGGAGGTCCTCAGCAAGCACGAGCTGCCACGCTTCTACTCCCTGCGCCACATCGCCTCGGACGTGGGCCGCGGCCGGGCCTGGCTGCGCTGTGCCCTCAACGAACACTCCCTGGAGCGCTACCTGCACATGCTGCTGGCCGACCGCAGCAGGCTCAGGTACCAGGGATGGCCTTCTGGGGGGAGGCATAGCCGGCTGGCTAGAATCGCAGCATCTGACTGCCTGGGTTTGTGTCCCAGTCTGCTTGTTGAGGGCACGCGGGTTCCCCTTTTATAGTCCCTGTGTATTCAGCTGTGCTTGGGGCACGGATGGTTAGAGAATAAGTGAGAGAATGAATGCTTGTAAAGGGCTCAGTATGGCACCTGCATACAGCAAGTACTCCGTACATGCTTATTTAGGTGTGGGATGTGGAGAGAGCCTTTGTCTCAGGGTACAGCCTGCTCCTCACTTGGTGAAATTTTAATTTGGGCTCCTTTCAGATCTAGAATTTCTTTCTCAGTAAAAATTGGGTGTTTAGTGCTCAGTTTCGTGTTTGTCTTGGGTTCCTTCCAATTCCTTCTGTTTTTTTGAGGTTAATCAATCCCAAACTGACTGAAAGGAATAGAGAAGCTTTGTGCTGGGAAGGGAAGTCAATTGTTATTTAAAAAGAAAAAAAACTATTTTATGATGTTTCCTTTTTTTTTCTTGATCGTAAACATACAGCTCAGTCTATCAGTTAGTATAGGTCAGTTTATGCTGCTATAACAAACAGCATAAAACCCTCCGTGGCTCAAGACAGCCACGTTTACTTCTTCTCCCGGACACGTGTCTATCATGGATGAGTCGGGGTTCCCTGTCTCAGGGTCCCAGGCTGACAGAGGCTCCCATGATTGCCAAGGTAGGAAAAGGGGATGTGGTTGAACTGAGCACTGGCCAGTGAGATACTTCACTTCTGCCTGCATTTCATTGGCCACCGAGTCACATGGCCACAGCCTAGCTCAGCAAGATGGGGGCGTGTGGCTGTCGCATAGCCGTGGGAGGGGGGCACTGCATACGCGTCAACCGTAGTACTGTCAGCCACATTCCTTTCAGAAACATGTGACAGTGCTGTCATTGTCCTATACTCATGATGTTAACAATGACTCTGTGTTGGTGGCTATTACTTACATCTGAGAATGGTGGACTAGACGTGTTGCTTTGTGTCACCTCATGGTGCACAGGGACCGTGATCAATCCTGTGCGGGTTCCTTGAGTAGCTTCCACATTAGCAGTGCCTAGCTCCTAAACAGTGAGGGTTTAATTTCAGTGAATTAATCTCATTTAATTCAGTAAGCTGGCATTTCATTCGTGCCATGATGCGTTCCCATGATTTCATATGCTGCCATGCGTTCCCTAGCTTGTCTCCTCTTCTGTTTTTTTCGTGCTGCTCATGGTCACCTGTCTACCAGCAATTTGTTGGGGGTTCTGGATTGTGCACGAAGGCTCTGACAAATACTCTTGAAGTTCTCCCGTTGATGGTGCCTGTGGGGCTGAGTCCAGCTGTATACTCAGACTGTGGGACTGAAATGGAAGGTGTGGGGGCCAGGACTACTATGCTCACTGCACCCGTGTGCCACTTAGGTCCGAGCCCCGAGGCTGTGGATGTCTGGGTGCACCCCCCCGAGCATTAGATAGTTTTAGTTGGGGAGAACATACTCCTGTTTCTTACAGTGAGTTTTCTTCTTCTTCTTTTTTTTTTTTTTTAAAGATTTTATTTATTTATTTGACAGAGAGAGAGGGAGGGAGGGAGGGGGAGAGAGAGAGCACAAGCAGGGGAAGAGCAGAGGGAGAGGGAGAAGCAGACTCCCCGCTGAGCAGGGAGCCCGACGTGGGGCTCGATCCCAGGACCCTGGGATCATGACCTGAGCCGAAGGCAGACGCTTCACCGACTGAGCCACCCAGGCGCCCCTACAATGAATTTTCATGAAGCTCTTTCCAGCAGATCATTTGCAAGTAGTTCAGAGTTGTACAACTCAGTATCAAGGTCGAAGTGAATCCAGCTGTTAACGGTTCACAGTTGAACTTACCCGAATCACTAGCCACTTACTAACTAGATGTGGGCAAACCAGATTCATTCACGTGCATGGAAACTGGCTCCGACTTTTAAAGCGTCGCAGTCTGGGGAATTGGAGGTAAAGTGGCAGAGCCAGCTCGAGTGTGTAGTTTGCGCTTAGGCTGACACTCCGCTGGGTAAGCTTATCGGACGGCGGGCGTTCCTTTGTTCCGTCGTTTGCACTCAGTCACTCCCGCAGCCAGGGTGTCCCATCTCCTGCTGCAGGTCCCTTACCACTGAGTGTGCTTTAGCGCTGTGAGCTTTGACTCCATTAATTGAGAGTTCTCCAGCCTGGTAGGGGAGTCAGGGGTTGAAGATACTTGCTACTGCTTAGCGAGCCTCAGATACAGAGCTGGGGGGCTGGACTGGGGCACCAGCTTCAGGGCCCTGGCCATACCATCATTGCGGGACAAGCTTGGACTAACCCTGTAGACCTTGCTGGCCCCCTTCCTTCTACTGCCACTGAGAGTCGTGGGCCCCTTTTAGCTTCCCAGCCCTTTCCAGGGGTAACTTGGGCTTTGGGGTCTGCAGCCCAAGCCAAGTATTATGTACAAAGGCTCTGGTTGATGGAGCCATGGAACTCTATCATTTCCTTCTATAACTGTCTCTTGTGGTAGCCCAGTCATGGCCCGCAGGGGGCCAGCTCAGATTTCCTGCCTGTGTCTTAGAGACCTAGCTTGACTGGATGCCACCCCTCTCTTTGTCCCCTTCTCCTTTGCTGCTTCATAAATAACTGCATTTACATGTCATGCCTATTTCAGTACACTCAAGCTCAGGGGACCGATGAGGAAGTCGTAGGATATATACATTCAGTCCTTTGTTTATTAACCAGAAGCTTCGGCTGGGCAGAGACCTTGGATAGCCACTCTGGGATGACCAGGCACAGATTTTCCAGGGAGCCATGTAAGAGAACTGTCTGGCCAATGGATGCAGAAAATCACTGTTCAGAACTTCTTCCCTTTCTCTTTCAATTTGCAGCACTTTTTATGAAGACTGGTCTTTTGTGATGGATGAAGAAAGGTCTAGCATGCTTCCTACCATGGCAGCTGGTAAGCCTGGCCCAGGCCAGGAGTGATGGGTACTTAAAGCTTGGTGAGCAGAGTCGGCTGCCTGGGAGGGAATTTATAATTCCGGGAGAGGCTGTGATTTTCCCTGTCCCTCCCTGACTTAATGAGTCACTTGTCACTGTCCTTCCTTTAGTAGCATTGGTCACCGAGTCCATTCATCTTGAATTGGATACCCTGGCAGGGAAAGCATAGGGTTGGGAGTTTTGGCTGTGGCTTTGCAAGACCTGGGGAATTGGAAGCAGGAGACCTGGCTTTGAAGCCTGGCTCTACCCTTTCCTGGCTGGTGACCTAGGGCAGGTCCTGTGAACTCTGTCACCCTTATTTCCGTCCTCTGCATGGTAGGGATCCTGATAGCATGGGAATTGCTTTCATAGGGCTGTGAGAGAATCAAGTGTGGTGAAGAGTCATGTTCACGATTTGTCAGTGTGGAAGCCCCTGGATGATGTTAGTTGGTGAATTGTTAGGTTGTTTATCGTTTGACTCTCACTCAAAGGGTGAGCCCAACAGAAGTGGGTAACTTGATTCTTTCTTTCAAATCCTACCTTGCCTTTTTTTTCCCTGAAGGTTTACACTAAGTCCCACATATTGAGAGTTACGTTTGTCTTGTCCATTGATGGGGAAAAGTCAGGCTTTGACTGTGATGTCCTCTGTAGGCCAGGGCAAGCTTTTGCCTGAAATAATCATAGTTACAATATTGATGCACATGTTTGATTGCTTACTGAACTGAGTGGTTTTGGTGGGCGATTGTCTTTAATACCCTGTGAAAGGAGATACTCTTGTCCCCACTTTACAGATAAGGAAATGGAAGCTCACGTTGTACGTGGCTTGACCCAGGTCTCCTAGAAAGCGGCAGTGCTGGGATCCAACCCAGGCAGTCTAACCTCAGAACTTACACCTTAATCTCTGGGGGTTGACCTCTTATTTGTCTTTGACTGAGAGGGAGAGAATTGGGAAAGACTTACCTGCTATGATAACTGGTGTCTCCTGACCCCATTTTGTGGGAGGTTTTTATTTTATTTTATTTATTTATTTTTAAAGGTTTATTTATTTATTTGACAGAGAGAAACACAGCGAGAGCAGGAACACAAGCAGGGGGAGTGGGAGAGGGAGAAGCAGGCCCCCCGCAGAGCAGGGAGCCCGATGTGGGGCTCCATCCCAGGACCCTGGGATCGTGACGCGAGCCGAAGGCAGACGCTTAACTGACTGAGCCACCCAGGCGCCCCTTGTGGGAGGTTTTTAAATCAGTACTTCAAATCAGGGCGTTCCCTCTTGTGTACTCTATCGTTTGCCCCACACTTACCGTGTTGGAGGTGTGACTTCCCCATGGCAGACACTCCAGACTTTTCCCTTTTCTGGGCAGGTCTGAACTCCATCCTTTTTGCAATCAACATCGACAACAAGGATTTGAATGGGCAGAGTAAGTTTACTCCTACCGTCTCAGACCTCTTAAAGGAGTCCACGCAGAATGTGACGTCCCTGCTGAAGGAATCCACGCAGGGAGTGAGCAGCCTTTTCAGGGAGATCACAGCATCGTCTGCCGTCTCTATCCTCATCAAACCTGAGCAGGACACCGACCCCCTGCCCGTCGTGTCCAAGCATGTCAGTGCTGGTGAGCGAGAACGGGCATGGGAGTTTGAACAGAGGGGTCGGGTCAAAGGACGGCTGACCGTGGCTGAGGGGGACACACCCCGTGGTCCGAAAGTGCCAAGGGAAATCCCATGCACTTGCGCTTTGTTTGCATTTGTGTTTATTTTTCTTCCTCTTACTCGCTCTGAGAGGGACCGAGAGCCTTGCTGAGATGTGAAGACGATAGGGTGGGAGCGCACTCAGCTCACTGACAGCACGATGACTGTGACACAAAGCCAGATGAGCTTCGTCTTCATTCATTTATTCCTTCATCCATTCATTCATGTGTTCATTTACTGCATTCTGTTGTGCTAGGCAGTGAACTAGGAAGATCTCTAGCATTTAGCCTGCAGTCTCTTTTGGGTTGGGTAAGAATAGATGTTTAATGACAAATTATACAAGTAAGTAATTATCCTTCTGATAAATGAGATGCAAGCCAAGCATGGGGTGCTATGAAGAAGGTGCACTCTTGGGGGGAGTGACATTTAAGTGGAGGCCAAGGGGAAGGGAGGAGTTGTCAGCTTTGACTCCCTAGGCTGGGGAGGCCAAAAAAAGTTGATTTAATTGAGATCCATTTTGTGAGAACTTTGTAATATGCCTTGAGCCTTCTGGAACATCCAGAATGTTGCTACAGCAGAAGTGGACATTTTGGGATTAAGTACGTAGTGCTAGTATTCTCAAATCCCTTTAACAAGACAGTAATCATGGTCATCTCTTCGGTATTATTAGTGATGGTGAAAACTCAGAATCTTGTGGGGTCTTTGATATACATTGGCTTTATCTGTCTTGTCCTCTCCTTCTCCAGTAGAGACCCCAGGCGAAGGACACAGGAAAGAGGACTGTTGAGGGTTTTGTGTAACAAAGATGCTGGCATTTGTATATCCAAGGAGTGTCCCTTTCACTGCTTTTGACACTCTCTCAGAGTTTGATATACTGGTGAAGCATCACCCTGTCACAGCTTGGCTTGGGTGGAATGGAATGTCTGGAATCAGCTCAAAGTGTCTCACACCCAAGTTTGACGATTAAAATGGGTGAACATACTGGTCACCAAGGCAGCCTTGATTTCTGTTTCAGTTAGTATTTACTGTGTAACCAACAGCTCCAAAATGTAGTGGCTTGAAACAGCCACAATTTATTATTATTATTCTTTACTACCCTCTGGTTTGGCAAGATGGCTCTGCTGTTTCACCCGGGCCCCCTTGTGGGGCTGCCCTGAGCTGGTGGCTGAGCTGGAAGATCTAAGGTGGCCCCACTTATGTGCCTGGAAATAGTGCTCACTGTTGGCTGGCGCATCTGCTTGTCCACACATGGCGTCTCATGCTCTAATGAGCTAGACTGGCTTCCTTCCCTGGGAGTTTCAGGGCAGCGTTCCAGGGGCGTACAACACCTCCTGATGCCTGGGCTCTGGAACTCGTTATCTGTGCTGCATGCTGTTGGTGAAATCCGAGCACTGAGCCAGCCCACGCCCCAGGGGGTGGAGAAGGAGATGCTACCCTCAATGGGAGCAGCAGTGAAGTCCCATTGCAGACAGGGATGAATTGTGGCGGCTGAGCCATTGACCACCACCCCAAACTTGTGTCCTTGGTTTCATCAATCAGCCAGGAGAGTATTTTCCAAAGTGAAAGTCATTTCCGGAATGGCAGCTTCCCCTGAATCAAAGTGCTTACAAGGGACGATTGTTAGGTATGCTCTGTGGCATGTTGGTTTAAATCAGAAGTAGAGCCCCACATTCATTTTGCTCAGTGTCCTATAGACAGATTTTTTTTTTTTACCCCAAGGATTAAAAAAAAAAAAATCTGAATTTATCTTGTTTATTTTTCCGAAGAATAATAGAGGATTTTCCACAGTCTAGAGGTAAAATGGCTCAATCATGGCTTTGTCTTGCCTGCCGCTTCTTCTAACACCATATCTTCTTTTGCCAGATGCCAGATATAAAAAGGAGCGGAAGAAGAAAAAGAAGGTGACCAACATTATCTCTTTTGATGATGAGGAAGAATGGCAGAACTCTGGCGATGTTTTTAAAAAGATCCCCGGGGCAGGGGAGAGCTCAGAGGAGAACTCCGACCGCTCCTCCATCAATATCATGTCGGCCTTTGAAAGCCCCTTTGGGCCAAATTCCAACGGAAGTCAGAGCAGCAGCTCATGGAAAATTGATTCTCTGTCCTTGAATGGGGAGTTTGGGTACCAGAAGCTCGATGTGAAAAGCATTGACGATGAAGACGTGGATGACAACGAGGATGATGTGTACGGGAACGTGTCGGGAAGGAAATGCCTGGGCCACTCGGGGTCACCTGAGAAGTAAGTGTCACTTGAGCTCTTAATGAAGGGTGGTGCATTAACGGCTTCCTCTTTCTGCAGCATTGGGTGAAATCCGAGCGCACGGTTTATATGTGTGTAGGGCATCATTCGCTTTTCTGATCTTGATCAAAGAGGAAGGAGCATGAGCTTACTGTCCTTCTGAGAATGAACAGAAGGGAAGGGAGTATATTTGAAGGTACTTATTATAAGATTGGTGTCAAGATGTGTGCCTTGAAATTCCTGCTTTATATATGTGTTTTTGTTTTTGTTGGATATTCCTTGTGTCTCTGCCTTGCTCCTAGCACAGGAAGCTCCGGAGAGAGGCAGGGTTATTCTAGCAAAGAGTCGCCCACTGGCAGTTTCTGTGTTTATCTCCTGGGGTGTGAACAGCAGGAATTCGCCTGTCTTGCCACTTTAACGGTGGTGGTGCAGTAGATGTGTGTTTATGGAAGGGCCTCGATGCACAAGAAGGCCGAAAGCGGTAAAGCATAGTTAAGAGTGTGGATCTTGGAATCAAGACAGCCTGGGTTCTTGCTTACTAGCTACATGGCTTAGGCTGGACAAGTTTACCCCCCAGAACCTCATCGGAGACCTGGGAGAAAAACAGTACCTGCTTTTCGGAGTCATTGTTGAATTAATGGGATACTGTGCGTTGGCCTTTGGCAGCAAGAAAGAGCCCAGGTCAGCCGCTGCCCTTGCTGCTCTGTAAGAATTCCTGTGCTTGGTCTTATCGGAATGCCAGATGAACTGGCTGCGTCTTTGCTTGGGCCTTGCAGTGCCCAGTGCTATCCGTCGCGGCCGGCTTCAGGCTGGCTCAAACCAGCCCAAGACCCCGAGGCGGGATGCGGGGCTTGGTGTCTTTGGCCCTAAGCTTCTCATGTCCCATGTGTTCTGATAGGAGTCTTCTTTCTCATGAGACAATGCCTGTTTCTGATTTCTGCTGTTGTCCTCATTCACACGGGTACTTGTATTAGCAGCATGACCTTGTTGATCTTCTGTGGCAGGCTGGGCCGGCGGGTTCCGCGTGTACCTGTAGCAATAGTAGGAGATGCCCTGGGAGGTTTTAGTGGGCATCGCCCTGTCTTCAAGGATTTGGAAGAACGGGATTCCTCGGAGAGCGGAGATTTGTCCGAGCACTGAGCGAAGCAGGGATTAAGGGTAGGTTATGCTGTGCTCCCAGGCTTTTGCTGTCAGATAGTCCCCATGTTTCTGCATAATTAGGACCATTGGTTGGTTGACAGATGAACACGTCACGATTTGTTGATGTTGCCCCCTGTGGTCAGTATTGAGCTCGTTGGCTTTTGCTGTTCTCATTTTTGCTTATTTGTTATCAGCCATTCTGAAATGAATATTTTTTCTTTTTTTTTTTTTTTTAAGATTTTATTTATTTATTTGACAGAGAGCGACACAGCGAGAGAGGGAACACAAGCAGGGGGAGTGGGAGAGGGAGAAGCAGGCTCCCCGCAGAGCAGGGAGCCCGATGCGGGACTCGATCCCAGGACCCTGGGATCATGACCTGAGCTGAAGGCAGTCGCTTAACCAACTGAGCCACCCAGGCACCCTGAAATGAATATTTTCACGCACAAGGCTTTTTTCTACTCCTGACGTCTTGGTCAGGGTCGCTTCCCTGAAGTGTTGTTTCCCTGAAGCGTTGCTCTGGCTCACGGGGTGAGTGTTTTCTACCTGGGACCCGCGTGTTGTGACCTGCTGTGTGAGTCAGGATCTCCAGAGAAGCAGAACCAGCAGGGGGCTCCCCCTCATCCGCGGGTCCACTTGCCATGGTTACCATTCCGTGGTTTCAGTTACCCGTAGCCAACCATGGTCCTGAAGCAGATGCTCCTCCTCCTCATGGATCATCACAAGGTCGGTAGTAGCCTGGCCTACGTCATTCACCCCAGTTCATCTCATTGATGCTGGCAGGCTGGGACTGAGGACCCAGAGGGGGTCCCACAGGACCAGCCGAGGGGGTCCCACAAGGACCAGCTGAGGGGGTCCCTGGCTGCATGCAGGTTAGAAATCCAATGCGAGCCAGCGGGAGGTAAAAGCAGAGTTTATTGGAGGCATAGAGAGAGTGCAGGTACAGAGTGTCTGGGAGACCTGGAAAGGGTCTGGGGTTTTATTGAGGACAGTGGTCTGGTGTTCGTCACCTCTCAGGCATCCAGCAGCCAGTGAGAGCAAAGACGAGGACCCAGGTGTTCTTCCTTGGAGCCACGCAGGCACCCCAAAAGCAGATTTTTATGGGGTCCTTCAGTCTCCCTGTGTCATCATCAAATAGGCAGTTTGTCATCACAAGAAGGGTGACTTCAGTACAGTACGATATTCTATGATATACATTCATGTCACCTTTCATTGAAGATTATTGTAATTGTTCTACTTTATTTATTTTTTAAAGGTTTATTTTATTTATTTTGTTTGAGGGAGAGAAAGAGACTACAAGTGGGAGGGGCAGAGAGAGTCTTAAGCAGACTCCACACTGAGCGGGGAACCTGATACGGGGCTCGATCCCACAACCCTGAGAGCATGACTCCACAGTCGAAACCAAGAGTCGGGCGTTTAACCGACTGCACCACCCCTCCTATTTTATTATTGTTGTTAATCTCTGCGGTGCCTAATGTATAAATTAAATGTTATTATAGGTGTGTATGGATAGGAAAAACACAGCATAAATATAGGGTGCAGTTTTGGGATTTTAGGAATCCACTGGGGGCCTTGGAACGTATCCTCTGTAGATAAAGGGCAGAACTACTGTCTGTCCATCCATATCTGTCTGTCTAGATTTATTTTAAGGAACTGGCTCACGTGATTGTGGAAGTTTGACAGGTTGGAATCTGTAAGGTAGACCAGCAGCCTGGAGACCCAGGGAGGAGTTTCAGCTTGAGTCCAAAGGCTGGCTGCTGGCGGAATTTCTTGTTCTTTGGGGGGCCTCTGTCTTTTCCTGTTAAGACCTTCAGCTGATTGGATAAGGCCCAGCCGAACCGGGGAGAATGATCTCATCTACTCAAAGTCCAGTGACTGAAGTGTTCATCGCATCTAAAAGTGAATAACGTTGGATCAGGTTATCTTGCCACCGTGGCCTGTAGCCGAGTTTCTGTGCGTCTGTGGGTGATTGCGTCTCTCAGTTGATTCACTCTGTTTTTGGCCTCAGACACAATCATTTTCTTCCTACCGGACTGTGCCATTGAGGGAGGCCTGAGGAGGAGGCCAGCTTGTGAGCCAGGGTAGCCGCCACGGGCATTGTGATGTGTAACACACAAAACAGTGCAGGGTGACCTCTTCAGGGGCCTGGGCCCTTCCAGGCCATTGGGCCTCCTGCAGATTATGGGCAGCCTCTCCCTGGCGTAAGGGGGGATCTTGATAGAACGTTCTGCAGAGCATCTTGGGGAGGAGCAGAGGAATGATGACATGGCCTACTGAGTAATCCTTTCCTTTTCATTCTAAGCTAACATTCACATGAAAGGTCTAGGAGCCTGGAGGGGCCAGAACCTGAGCAGTTGAACAGCACCGCCAGGTTTGTGAGGGACAGGTGGCCTGTCCAGGAGAAGCACACTGTGGATGTGACAGCCTCTGGCCACGGCAGGGCTCCAGTTGTCTCTGAAATGCTCTGTTGGCCAAAAGTTGGGTTTATGTTTCTGTTTGCTGGCAATTAAACCACCTCTGATGACCAAGGAAAAATCTTGTCCCTCCCACCTCAATATTTACCAGTGTTTGCTTTGCATTTTGTTTTTGTTTTTCTTAAGAGAGGATGATGTCTTTATTATAGAAAGGGGTTTTTCTGTCGCTTCCTGTGTGACCTCTGACACCAGTAGGGAAGAGACACCAGAAGGGAACATAATTCAAAAAGAATTACAAACATAGGGACAAACATTACACCTCACTAGCAGTTAAACAAATGGAGAATGCCATCAGACACTGTATTTTGCCACAACTTAGAACTGGATAAAAGGCGAGCCCTGGGTTAGCACCCTGGGGCAGGGCTTGCTCTCAGCGTGTCCTCAGTTGTGTGGTATCTTCCGGGCACACAGGCGGCGCCAACTGTGGGGTGGATGACGGGGCCAGGCTGGTGCACAGGGGTGTCCTCACAGATCTCACAGATGGCCGGGAGTGTTGACAGCCCTTGGGGAAGACAGTTTGACACGACAACGACGACGTCAGGAGCCTTAGAAATGTTTATCCTGCTTGATTCAGCAGTTCCACTGCTGGGAATGTGCCCTGAGGACAGAGTCTCCGGACCGTGGCTGCGTCTAGATACCAAAGTCTGCCTTTCCAGAAGCAGAACTCTGGAGCTGACCTCCGTCAATAGCCGACTGCTCTGTAGCTTACACTTTAACAGCCTAACATTTCAGGTCTCAAACATGTTTTTGTTTTTTTTTTTTTAAATTAAGTTTTTAATTTTAATTCCAGTACAGGTAACAGTGTTTTACCAGTTTCGGGTGTACGCTATAGAGATTCAGCAGTTCATGCATGACCCAGTAGGATCTTGAACATTTTCACTGACATTTAAGAGTATCTCAGTAGTTAGGATGAACTTAGGAATGAATATTGAATGAAAAAAGCAAACTATAAATCCTGCACTGAGTTTCATTACGACCTCCTAAAGAAAAGTATGTGTAAGAAGAAAGAAGCACTAAGGAAAGAGTGTCTAAGTCAGTTTTGTTTTTGGTGTGGCTTTTAGTGTATTCCCCGCCCCCCTCCTCTTTTTGGCATTTTCTAGGTTTTAAAATAAGCGTCTCTTTTTTCTAATGAAAAGCAAAACCTTTTATTATTAAGCCAACTGTGGATTAATAATAAAGAGACAGGATTGGTCTCTGTCTTAGGAATCACTTCGGTGTAAATCGTTTTGGGGGTGGTGGCCCTTGGGCACTTTTGCTTGGGTTCTAAAACCTCAGCTGATGGGGTCTGGCTTCACCTGCACTCTGCGTTTCTGGGAAGTCGCAGAATTTCCCCTTAGAATAAACAGTGGAAAATCCCACCCGCCTGGAGCCGGTGCAGTGGCCCAGGAAAGGACGGGTGGTTTTGCTGCCTTCTCCTGAGGGGCGGCCCTGAGTGCCTCGGGGTGTCTGGGAGTCCCCCTGGTCACCAGCTGCTGGATCTGAGCCCCAGGAGGGCGGCTTGCTGACTGTAGAGACACAGCCAAGTTCACCCCAAAACCTGGCCCCAGTGTGGTTGTGCTGCCCCACCCCAGGCTCCTGAGGGGCCCACTGTGGGTGTGACCTGCAGGATTAAATGATGGATTCTGCAAAATGCTGTTAGGATTATTTGCCGTTTGTAGCTCAGAGCCAAACATCTGACCAAAAGCTAGAGAGGGCTGAAAGGAAAATCTCTAAGTGGCCTCTTTCTGAAAGGCCTGACAAAGTAGCCTATGGGCCAGATCCGCCCCCAAGCTAAGAATGGTCGTTACTTTTTTGAAAGGGCTGTTAACAACTGCAAAGAAGAATACTTATGGCCACAAAGCCTACGCTATTTCCTGTCTGGTCCTTTACAAAAAAATTGTGTTGATCCCTGATCTAAACCTAAGGAAAAACTACATGCATCATGCCACACGGTGGGCAGCATTCAGAAAGCCCTTGGTAATTGGATTTGAAGACGTGGCCTCAGACCCTGAAGCCTCGGTTCCGTCCAGGATGCTGCACTTGGACAAGTCACATCCTCCTGGACCTCTTGTCTCCCTTTCCCCCCCTTCCTTCCTTTCCTCCTCCTCCCCCCTCCCATCCTTCCTCTGTTAAGTAGGTAGGGCTATGATCTGCTTTGGACTTCTTTACACCTGAGTTACAGAGTGATTTTTATAAACTTTAACGTCCCCTGCAACTTCAGGCTGGTATTTATTGTTTCCACTGTCCAGCAGCAAATGCTGCAGTGGGCAAAACCTTCCCACACATACTGAACTGAACCAGCGGGTGCGACAAAGATGGTCCAGGTTGCTTTTGTACTTTGTAGATGAGGTGTCGCCGTAACAGGTCACGCGAGCCCGGTTAACGGTTCAGCTGACCCCCTTTCTTGGAAGGCACCCAGACACGATTTTGGTCTGATTCTGCTCTTTTACTAATGAGGGTTTGAGAACCAGCGAGGCGACGGGACACTAGCCCCAGGTCACATGGCTGACAGCATTTCAGAGCCTGGGACCCTGTGCTTCGTCCTGCTTCAGAGCTCGGCACGTGCTGCGTCCCCCTTGTCCGTCCCCCTCTTCACTCCACTCACCCTGCGCTCTCACCTGCAGCTCTCACCTCTCACCTCCCTTCTTCACGGTTGCTTGCCGTGGCCTTGCTGACCAGCTCCGTGACTCTGAGTTGCTGTCTTACATCTCCTTGCGGGGTTGTGTGATTCATGTCCTGGTCCCCCAGCCCACTGTAAGCTCCTTGAGGGCAGCATGAACACCGTTTGGCTCTTTGGCCAGCACAGAATATATGTGAGCCCAGAGCCTGGCCTATAGTAGGTGCTCAGTGAGCACTGGTGGGAGGAATGAAGGCGTGAGGTCCGATCTGGACCGCATGGCCCTGTTCCCAGCCTGGGCCTCCTATCTTCAGCCCTGTCACGGTCTGGCAGGCTCCCGAGAGGGAACTTGAGGGAGGCCCAGCAGATGCCTGTGGTGGTCTGAGCCCTCGGATGCTCTTCGGTCTGTCACGCAGCTGTCCTCTCTTGCTTAGGCCACTGGATGGGAACACCCGCCTGTCCCAGATGCACAGCTGGGCCCCTCTGCAGGTGCTACACGGCGACACCGACGTCCTCTTTCCTGTCAGTGGAGTGGCCTCCTACAGCCCTGCAGGTGGGTGCTTCCTGATTCCTCCCTCCCTCCGTTCACGTGCTGGGTTCCCTCTGCTGGCGGGAGGGAGCCAAGAGGTACGGGGCTCAGGGCAGGAGACTGGAAGGGACTGAGGGTCTGGCTTGTCTTCTTGCTGACCCAGAGTGTTTGAGGTGCTCCCACCCGAGCAAGGGTTGGGCCAAACCAGCTGACGAGTCACAAAGGAGCCCCGACATCGGTTTGTTTTCCTTACTAGTGATTTTTTGGGACCTGGGCACGTACAAGCTGACCACAAGTGGTGACCATTAATTTTGCCTCTTAGGGAGGAACGTTACAGAACTCATAGCTCTAAAGGCCCCCGCACCCTTTGCCGCCAAGTGCTGAGGGCTCAGAGAGCAGCTTGCTCAGAATCTGCCTGTGGAGTGGTGAGCGTTCCCGACTCCTTCCATTTGGTTGAGTGTGCTCTCGTGTTACTGTTTTCTTGAGCTAGAGCAGGTCACGGGGAGTGGTGGGAGAGGGGGAGGGGACGTGGATGAGCTCCGTGGGTGAGTGGCACAGTGCAGCGCTGGGTAGCCGTCACCCCAGTCCCCCCCAACCCAGCCCCTACACAGGCACCTTCTCCCCCTCCCAGGGCCAGGTTTAAGAAACCATAACGGTTTCTGGACTGCTCAGGAAGCTGTTGACAGTCTGAACCGGATGGCAGACTGTCTTTTTGGTCACGGGGGCGGACAGAAACCCGCTCAAAGGAGCTGGAGCTCAGGGGCAGGTGGGCGGCTGACTGGCAGCTGTCTCGGGGGGGGGTCAGGTAGCCCCGCCCCAGGAGCCGCAGGAGCTGAGTAGGCCGGGTCACCTCTCCCAGCGGGAGTGTTCCCGGCAGAGACCGGGGCTCCTGAGCGTGTGGGGCGAAATGACTCAGTCTTCCAGGCGGGTCTCCTCTCTGGAAGGTGCGGCTGATGCATGGTAATGGCAGCCCTCGGAGTGAGCCCAGGCCTGGAAGGTGGCCCATCTGGACGAACGCATCCTCTCTCGACCACAGCCTGTGAGGAAGGGCTGGCCACTGTTACCCCACCTTCCTCTCAGACTTGTGGTGAAGGCTCCCCAAGGTGCTGTGGGGCAGGGTGCCAGGCAGCGGCTCAGGCCCCGTGAAGCCTGCTCTCAGCACTGCGGCGGTGGCGGGGCACCTGCTGTGGGGTGTCCGGGGACCGGGAGCCGCTGGTCGGAATGGAGGGCGCTCCTGGGTCTCCCCAATTCTGCGCCCCACACCTCCTTATGGGGTCTGCCCCGTCTCCTCTTTTCCTTTGAGAGGCTTTGCTCTCTCTCGCCACCTTGCCCCCTACCCGTTTGGCCTCAGCCGCGCGGCCTCCCATACTGGCCAGCACTTCTTCCTGGGTCTCCACTGAAGTCCCGGGCCGGGCTGGTGGGCTGGGCTGGTGTCTGCAAGCCAGGCCGACACCAGCCGCTGCATTCCCTCAGGTGACCATGCGGGGCCCCGATGGCCAGTGGGGGGTTTGGTTATCTTGCCATGGCCCGTTCAGGGGCAGTGCATGCACACATGGACAGGGTGCCTGAGAAGGGGGGGCTTGCAGAGAGCAGGCGGTCCTGGCCCCCCTCTGGGACCACGTGACTTCCACCTGGCGACCTTGTCTCCCTCCCCACCGAGGGGACCAGCGGTCGTTGGGCTGTCAGGTGCCTGCACTTGTCACTCTGTTTTGTTTCCAGTGGCTCCTTCCTTTCTTAGCTGGGCTCCTCTCAACCGTCAGACCCTGGGGGTCGAGGGCCGGCTGCTCCTGGGGCGCTGCTCTCTGCCGTTTTGTTGGGTCTGGTCTTAGAGAACTCAGCGCTCTTCCTCCCTCTGTGGGCTTTCCTTCCGTGTCTTCAGGGAGAGTAGCTTCTGGCCGGCCTCCAGCATCCTCACAGGAGGGCGTCCTCCTGGCAGCTTTCCCGTGGTCCCACCTCTGCCTCTCAGCTTTCCAGACCCAGAGGCTTCATCTTGTCGCTCTCGTGGGACCCTGAGCTCCAGCTGATCTTGATTATCCTCATCAGAGATGCTGTGTCTGCCAACTTTTTAATGTACTATAGTAACAAAGCCGCCAGGAGTCCTGGAAGCTTGTGACAGCCTCAGGGGCAAAGTCGCTGTGGGTAGGAGTTGCATAGGAAGACGAATTATGCTCGGGCTGCAGAAGATACTGGAATCAGAACTGGGGGAGTCGGCTACCTGATTGGAATGCCAGGTTGCTTCGAGTCCCTCCTGGCCTGATCCCCATTTCCTTGGGAGGCCTTTCCCTGGGCAGCTGTGGGCGCACACTGTCAGCTGTCTCTCTCAGACTGCTTTTCTTTTGCTCATCTCTGACTGGTGTCCCTTCCGATCGATACCCTCCCACTTGATCAAGGTTAACAGATTATTCCCTCTCATTCTCGCCGGGGAGCCAGTTTGGTCTGTAATGGCAGCTTTGCACACAGAGGGCTCTACCCTTAGGAGACCTTCCCCATCATCTTTGAAAGTGTTGGTGCCTCTAGCGTCCCTGCCCTGGGGGGCATTTAGCAGAAGAGGGAGGGAGGCACTTGGTGGAGAAGGATGAATGTTTTTGGTAGCTAAATTGGGGGAGGGAGAAAGTGGCAGAGAAGGGGACTCTCAACACAGAAGTATTGTCCTTCTGATTCTTGGATGAGGTGGATTGGGGGGCCCGGCTTTGGAGCTGCATTTCTGGGGTTAGAGGCTCAGAGAAGGAAGACACTGGCCAGGGTCACACGAGACCCGGGTGGAGGATTAGCTACAGTTAACTCCTCTGAGCATGTCTACTACCTGCAAACAGCAAAGCACGTTTACTGACATCTCTTCGAAGCTGCAAGAGAGAGAGAGCCCCGAAAGTTTCTTTGCACTGCGATACTCAGTGGAGGTGACAAAACACCCACTTCTACCCACTGCACACGTGAAAACGTTATTGCTCCTCTTCTCACTGAGGGTCCTGGCTTTAGTGTTGGGTTTGAGCAAATTCAGAGTCAGTTTCTGAGGGCTTGTTTGTTCATTTGAAGCCTTGGGTCCTCGCACTTTCATTTCCTCGTCAGGTGTAATGTTCTTCCACCTCTTGTCCTACCGTTGGGTCTTCAGGGTTGCTCGGTGAGGTTGTGGAGGCTCTGTTGTACCATCGCTCCCGTCTGAGATGGTTGATCTGGGAGCGTGGCTCCCAGAGGGCAGCGTTACTGTTTGGAATGTCAGGATACTGTGGTGCCCACCCAGCCTGCGTGGTGTGTGGTCTCCACCCCACTCATGTGGGTCGTGTGCCACGCAGGGCTCATGGATTTCTTTACACAGCCAGTGGGTGGTTGTGCTCTGCGCCAGACCGTGCTAGGCTCTGGGAGGATCCAGAGGTAAACACTCACCCCCTCCCCCCTCCACCGCCCAGACTTTTGCAGGCAAGGAGGGGACAAGGGACATCAACATCTCTCCCTGCTTCTACCCCTGCCCCCACCCTGGCCATTCTCCTTATAGCAACTGGAGTGATTTCTTAGAACATAAATCAAATTGCATCATTCCCTTGCTCCAAACTCTCCCAGCGCCCTGAGGATAAAATCCAGAATCCTCACTGTGGCCCCCCAGACCCACGCTCAGTGCGCAGCATGATCTCCTCCCATTTTTCTGTAGCTCGACGCCCCTAGCCACACCAGCCTGTGTCCACTTCCAGTCTCTCTCCTCCTGCCCCCTGTGCACATCCTTTAGGAGGCAGCCCGAGTGGTGCTGGCTCATAAAGGGCTCCTCTGCCCCTTCCCCCCAGTGGGCCGGCCTCACATTCACACTGCCAGAAACCTCCTGTGTCCCCAGTGCCCTGACCTGAGCTTGTAACCTGATAATTCCTGTCCCCCTGCTAGTCTTTGAGGTCTGTGAGGGCAGGCCCGTGTCTACCTGGTTCCAGTGTGACCCTGACCCTGGCCAGAGCCAGTCCACGGTGCGGGGGCAGGGCTCAAGAGTCATTTGCTGAGTGGGTGAGCGGTGGGTGGACCAAGTGCATGGGGATGGGGCATGCCGAAGGGAGTGGACACCTGGCAGTTGGAAAAATGCTGTCCAGGTGGGGACACAGTATAGACAGAGGAATAGGGCAGGCAGTCCAAGGACCCATAGAGGGAGAGGCACGTAGCTCAGATCAGCTGTGTGAGAGACCGTGAAGTGGGGAAGGGCTCTGCTCTGCCCCTGGGCACAGTGAGGTTCAGATCCTCACACGTCAGCTTGCGATCTTGGACGGGTCACTGAAATCCTTCAGGGCTGTCTCCACATCTGGTAAAATTAAGATAATAGTAGCGTGTGCCTCAGAGGGCACCTCGAGGGTGAGTGACCCCGTGAGTGCTCACTCTGTGGCCCCAGCGCGTCAGGCCCACTGCGGTGTCCTGGCTCGCGGGGGTGTGTGATGGTGGGACATCACTGGGGCCGAGTAGGCCTGGGATCTGGAATGCTGGTGGGTGACCATGGCCTTTCCTCCAGCTGTGGATTTCTGCTGTGCATGTTGGAGTCCCCGTTTTCGCTTCAGGGAGAGGAATCCAATAGCTGTGAGTTGGATTAACAAGGGTGAGACAGAACTGCGGGGATCCCCTGCGGGAGACCCCTAGAAGGTATGGAGCCTCACCACTAGGGTGGCAGTGGACACGACCGTGGACAAGGAGTGGCCGATAATGAAGTGGAACCGGCCGGTCTGGGGGACCCGGAGGGAGGTGGCGGTCCCGTGGACGGGGTGACAGAAGGGAGTGCTTTGCTCGGTTGTGATCAGGTGGTGGGCCCTGCAGGGTGTCCCAGTGGAGCTTTCAGGCAGGCGGCGAACCCCGTGGACGAGGATGCAGGATTGAGGTCCCAGCCAGAGGTGGGGCCAGGACCTTGTTGGGTTTGCCGAGGGGGACAGGGGCGTCTGAGCCGCCATGCAAGAGATACCTTCACAAAGGAATCAGAGAAAAGACGATGGGGTGGTGTGTGCGTGCGTGCGTGTGCGTGCGTGTGCGTGCGTGTGATGATGGTGGGGGCTGTGGTAGGCGGGCTGGGTTGTAGAGCAAGTTGTGCTTAGCACGCAGTGACTGTTCCCGCTGAAGCACGTGTGTTAAACCGTGAGTTCAGTCATGCGGTCGGTATTACAAAAATGTCGCAGGGCAGGCACTAGTGTTACCCATTCATAGTTGAGGAAGCCGAGTCACAAAGAGGCTAGGCAGCTTCGCGCTCAATTAATGTTGGAGGCAGGGCCTGCACTCGGAAACTAACCACAACACTTGGGAGGGAGGCAGGGGAGGCCGAGGGGGAAGACACTTGCTGTTTCCCTTTCGAACTTCTTAAAAAAAAAAGGGGGGGGGGCGAGTGGAATAGCTTGGTGGGGACAGCAGTATTGAAAAACAGTGAAAAAAAGAGAAAATTCTCTTTAGGATTCCCTGAGTACAGCCCCTTAAGAGCTGGGGAATCTCAAGCAGGAGGAAACTCAGGCGAAAACAGGAGGGATGGCAGGGAGGCAGCCGCGGAGCTGAGGGCCCCAGAGATGCATCCCCCATCCGGGCCTGGTTCTGCAGTCAGCCTTGAGAAGCCGGGAGTGTCTCCAAAGGGCACGTGTTACCCTGGCTGATACCGGCCTTCGTGGCACCGTCCAGCCCAAGGGTGGTCGCGCTCTTTTCTGGAAAGAGACCTGAACGGCAGCTAGTACATTTATGAAAATCCTTAGTGCCTCTAGAGATTATCTGTGGTCTCCCTTCTTTTGAATGCCTTTCCCACACACAGCCCGCGCGCGGGGAGGCGGCTTTCTAGAAAGCGGTAGGGCACTTGGTTTTGATGCAGACAGACGTTATCGACGATGAGACTATGCTGCCCCCTTGTGTCTGTCCTAAGCCACTACAGCGAGAGGGGTTTTGTCTATCAGAAAGCTGATTATTATTCCCTGATCCTAAGGCTGGCCTAATACGGACTTCATGCACAATTCCAGGTGGCTCAAGGTCAAAAAGGTTAAGTAGGAGGATGGGACCTCCTATCAGTGACTGATGCCAAATCTGAGATGATGGCCAAAAAAATGAAACAAGTAGCAGATTAAAATCTATTGTGCAGGTGAGGAAACACTTGTAAGCCGACTGATGTAGCAGATGAGCAGATGAGCCCGCGTCTGCGCTGTGTCCTTGCCTCATGGAGAACATGAAATGAAAACAGACAGCTGACTTTCTTTCTGCGACTGCTCTCTATGCACAGATGCCCCCCTTGGAAGCCTGGAGAACGGGACAGGACCAGAGGACCACGTTCTCCCGGAGCCCGGCCCCCGGTACAGGTTAGTATTCCAGAGCCAAATTGCCTTTGGGATTGAGTTGTCCTGGTCACAACTGTGCATTTTATTCTCTTTTAAAGATGGGGTGCACCTGCCGGGATTCAAGGTCAAGGCCTTATTTCACATTTATGTTCCGGTTTAGCTTACATCATGGAATGTGAAGTTGCCAAGGGTGTGAGAGACGGTGTTTGGCAAACTTCATTTGCAAACCACCTTTACTTTTATGGTTTGGGGGCCATACCTGGGTGCCTCCTCTCCCATTATGCTTGATTTTAGCATTTGATCACAGTAATGCAAGACTTGAATATTATATAATATCTGAACCACTTAGCTCTCATATATTTGAGAAGTGCTTAGTCTGTTATATGGTCGTAAGTGCCATATCGGTTTTCTGCTTTTCAAATAAAAGTCTCTCAAAGGGAAACTGAGTTGCTCAAAGTCACTGGATGTTGGGTGGCAGAGCTCAGATAGACACTGAAGTCTCCCCAGTACCACCAGGATCCTCGTTACTCTTCCAGTTGTTTTTCTCTCTTCGTGCTTTTAATTTGGTCCAAACTTCAGTGAGTAGGGATAGACCCCATCTGCATTTTCAGCCTTAGGTCTAGGGTGGGCGTCACTGATGACCCCGAGCATACTTGATGTTACGGATAGGGCCCTGCTCTCTGACACTGACCGTGCCTATAGGTTCCTACACAGTTCGTACACTGTCAGGGAGGACTGGGGTCACCAGGTCCCTCCAGGACGCAGAGTCCTTTTTGCTGTTTATTTTAGACAAATACTGAGTATGGATTTTTGGGGACACACATAGACTTCGGCAAGAAGGCAAACTTGCAAGTAGGGAATCTGCACATGATGAGGGTTGCCTGTGATTTCGAAGGGCTGCCTCCTGGGCTTCTAGCAGGTGCACCTGAGTACACTTAGCACCTGCTTGGTTTTTGAATAGTGAGGTTGTGTATTTTGAGTGGCCGATTGTAACTTTCTTCTGTCTGCCTTCTCCCAGTGTGGAAGCCAGTCCTCCTGGCCAGGGAAGCCCTCTGAGCAGCCTGTTACCTTCTGCCTCCGTGCCAGAGTCGATGACAATTAGTAAGTACTTTCTGAATGTCCTCCGCCCATACTGGTGACCCTCGGGCCTGCACATCAGTGGAGTGTCTTTGGACTTGGTCCTATGTGACTGCGGACTTCACAGAATGCGGGGTAAAGTCAGGTGTGTGTGTACCTGGTCATGGAATTGAAGTGTGGTGTGCGCTTCTAAGCTTCCTGAGCTGCAGTTAATGCGTGATGCTTGGGTGTGTGCACACTGTAAAGGACATGCTTCAGAGATGGAGCAGCACTGAGCTAGAGGGAAACTTCTGTTGTTCCAGGTTTGGGGGTTTGCCTCCTGGAAGGTCGTCAGCTACAGAGGAACTGTGCTAGTTGGATTTCCTTTGTAGCTCTGGAGGGATCATTTTTGTGTGGAAGGAAGAGTGTATCTCTCAAAGAATAATGAAGGTTCATAAAGATCAGGTTCAAATGGTTTCTAACCTTATTACTGAGAAAAAGTATTAGAGATATAACAAGATTAGGTTCATGGGGCTTTATATGATAAAGAATAAACCAACTGTAGCTCTCTTTCCAGAGGTAGACAGGCTGGGGCTGGTATGTGGCTCCATGTTTATCAGAGACTGAGACTCCTTCCATCTTGCCTCGTGGTCCAAAATGGCTGTTTTAGCTCCAGCCATCCCATTCTTATCCCAGGTAGCAAGAAGGAGGAGGGAGCAAAGGAGAGACTTCCTCCATTTCCATAGGTAGGATTCAGGATCTGAACGTGCATAGGGAAAGAAATTACTACTTTTTTCTCTAGCCTCTTCCTGAAATTTACATTTCTTTCAATTATGAAAGTAGCAACAAACTGTAGAAACCATAGCAGTGTTAGCAAAATGGGTGACTTTGTCCCTGGTGGAAGTCACAGGCGCCTGAAATGAACAACATCTCAGAATGTTGTTTGTGCTGGAAAATAGTTTTTAATGCAATAATAAGGAATTGTACATATTCCGATGTCACTTTTATTTTTTTACATTTTGAGGGTTCTTTTTCAACATAATCCGTTTCCTTTGTAGTCTTGTGTGTCTTATGTATTTTAAACTCTTTTTCTGAAAAGAGGCCCATGGGCTTCACCGGCCTGCAGAGTGGGTCTGTGGTACAGAACAGGTGACCCCCTCCCCCAGTCATGAGGCCCCGTCCTAGAAGGCGCACATGGTATCCCATCGATGTGGCCAGCATCAGTCCCATGGCCTCCCTTGGCTGCTAGGGAGCCGAGCCCCCCCAAGAGCGGAGTTTGGGAGCCAACTGGCATTCTTTGAGTTGGGAATGAAGAAGGAAGTGAGCGGACTCTGTAGGGTGGGCGCAGTGGGAACGACCAGTCTGTCTCCGTGTAGTGGAAGCGTGCAGTTCATCACGGCGCTCCTCAGGCTGGAGTTCAGCCGAGCGGATATCTGTGCGTCTATACGCATGGGGCACCCGGGCTAGGAGAACACTGAAGTCACTGGCTTCCAAAGTTCCGTTATTTATTTACCGCTGTACTAGTGCTTACCCTGTAATGTGTGTGTATATTTTTAAAGGGTACACCTAAGAAAACCTGAATGCCTTTACTGAAAAAGGGAACTTCGCCTGCGTACAGTGAGTGGGGAGCCTCTGTTAGTTGACGGAAATGGCAGGTAACTGAAAATAAAGACGCTGGAGAGGAACCAGTATTGAGTCCGCCTGGGTGTCCCTGCCTGGCCCAGCTTCTGTCTGAGACCCCCTCCCATTGTTGTAAGGAGAGGCGACTAAGCAGCAGCACGAGGGGCTTGGGGATATGCTAGTGCGAAACCCAGATCTTTTTCCTGGAAGAAACCAGAGGGACTGAGAAGGGACAGAAGCCCCTGGTCTGAGTCCCTGCTCCTTCACGCCTCGTCTTTCTCCTCTGCAGTGTCTCTCTCTGAGTGGGTTCCACCTCGTGTAGAGGGCTGAGACTTTATTCTGGCTCTGAGGTGTGTCTGCCTTACTTTGTGTGTCTTGTAAAGAACAGCCCCCGGAGACTGCGGGCTTGAGCACCAGGCCTCGCCGCTTGTCCGGGTGCAGACACCTCGTGCACCCCAGTGGGTATGCCGTGGTGCGCTTCCAGGCGGGCTTCCTGCTCCTGGGGGTCAGGCCTCTCCCTCCCTGCTGAGCGCGGTCCGCTTTGTCGGCGGCTCTGTGGCTCTGCCCGCGGAAGCAGCTGGCCCTGCTTGGGCGTCGGCACTACGGTCGTCCGTTGTCGTGCTGCTGGCCAAGATGTCGGCTGTTTGTCTTGTCTTTACTCATACGATCTTCCAGAAATGTCAGTCCACTTTTATTATTTGGTATCTTTGGCAAGTAGGGACCTACCCAGAGTTTATGACTTGAATCTCGAGATGTGTCACCACACCCACGTCTTGACCCTTGCTTGATACTTCGTATCGATGGACTTTGTGGGGGGTGGTGGTGTGCTTCCTGGGGCAGGGGGCGGTGGCGATTTCAGCGAGCCTTCTGGACACAGCACTGTGTCACCTGTGTGTGTTCCCTATGAGAGAGCTGGATTCTTAGAAATTTTGGGTGGAAGGTGTTTTGATGTGTGTCCCCCTCATCCTGTCTCTGCCCCTGTGACATCCCAGAGAAATAAGAAGAGCGAGCCTGTCTGGGGGTCCAGGGTGCCAGCTGGGGTGGCTCTGACAAGGCACCACAGGCCGGGCGGCCGGAGCAACAGTCTCTCGTAGTTCCGGAGGCTGGAGGTCCAGGTGACCTCAGTGTTGGTTCCTGGCGAGATGGCTGTCCTTGGCTTGCAGATGGCCTTTTCTGTCTGCCTCTGCATTCCTGGTGTCTCTTCCTCTGCTTGTGAGGACCCCAGCCCTTCCAAATTAGGGCCCCACCCTTAGGACCTCATTTAACCTTAATTATCTCCTTAAAGGTCCTACCTCCAAATACAGTCCCATTGAAGTTTAGAGCTTCACATGTGAATTTTGGCTGGGGAGGGGGGAATTCATTCAGTCTTGGGGTGTCCCAAGAACGGTGCCCAAAGAGCTGTCCAACTCCAGATTGAGAATTCCATCCCAGCACGTGAAGCACATGGGCTTTGACCTGGGAGATGCTTGACTCTCAAAAACCCCGTGGAGCCTGGCAGAGGAGCCCCAACTCTTCTCTGTGACGCAGGGAACCTTCCCTTGCACCCTGCCAGGTGCCTTCCCTGGCTCCATTTCATCATGGGTACAGGGGGCCGCCTCGGCGCTCATCCTCGGTGCTTGGCCATGACCGACAAGTCCTCTGCCAAGCAGCCTTCCCCTCCTGGGTGCCTCTGAAGTGGCACAGGCTATTGTCCTGGCTCTTTTGGGTGTCTATTCTTGTTGTCACGAAGTGCCCACAAGAGGACGGCGTGGCCCGGCTCACATTCCTGCTCTTTCTACGAGGCCCTCTGGTACTTAAGAACACACAAAGCCTGTTCGGAAGAATTAGTCACTTAGCGAGTAGTAAAGACAGTTTGGAGCCCAGTTTGGAGCTCCGGGCACTTGCCATTTGGGCGGGTGAGTGTGTGTCTGTGTTCGGGGTGTGCAGGGCCGTCTGGGGCCGGGGGGACTGCAGCCCGCCTGTGCTGTCCCGGCCTGGAGGGCATGCCCTGAAGCCGGCCGCCCGGTTCCCCAGGCTTCCCCGGGGTTCTCCAGCCTCTCAGGGCCTGTTTCCGTACCCAAACACCGGGATGCCCCGAGCACCCATCATTTGCTGAGAAGAGTATCTGCGTCAGAGCTGAGCGTCCGGAAATAGTGCCTATTACCAACCTGCTAATATTTGCATTCTGCTTTCTCAGCATTATTTGCTAGCATTTTCCCCCTCTTCATCTCCCCGGTCATCCTGCTGAATGACTGTGTAATACTCCAGTTTACTAGATGATTTTGGGGCAAGGGGGTGCACCAGCCACATTTGTTTGTTTTTGCTGAGTCTCTTCACTCAGTGTAAGGAAAAAGGAGAATCAGCGCCAGGCTTGGAGTACATTATTTTTTTTCTGCTCTGTGTTCCTTTGTGGTAAATTCTGTGGGGTGCAGGGTGAGCGGGCCAGAGGTGAGTCCCGTATTCATGGGCTTATTCTCAGTAGCCGTCTCGTCTTCAGAGTGACCGTGTTGCCAGTAGGATGACACCTGCTTCTTTCCTTACCCTTCACTGACCATAGTCGCCAACATTTTATTTTTTAAAATTTTTAAAAGATTTTATTTATTTGAGAGCGTGCGTGCACGAGATGAGGGAGGGGCAGAGGGAGGAGCAGACTCCCCTCTGAGCAGGGAGGCCGATGCAGGGCTCGATCCCAGGACCCTGAGATCATGACCTGAGCCGAAGGCAGACGCTTAACCACTGAGCCACCCAGGTGTCCAGTTGCTAACATTGTAATGCATTTGCTACTTTAAGAGCTGGAAAAATGGCACTCAGAGGCTGGGTGGCTGTACACTCCCTGGAGGGACACCCCCTCTCCAGGCCTTTGTTTAACATTTGTAACCCCTCCCCTCTGCGTGTGCTGCTTGTATCCTTTGTTTTGGGGTCTCCCGCCCTCCCGTTGGCTGCTCTGCCTGATGTGGAGACCAGATGGGGATGGGGCACAGAGCACTATTTGCAGCTCCCGGTGCTGGCTGCGTGGCTTGGGGACGGGCCAAGAGGACAGGCTGACAGGACCCCCAGCCCTGTGCTAACCTTGGCCGGTATGTCAGGCAGCAAAGAAGCCAAGAGCCTGCCCCGAGGAGTTCCCAGGCCCGAGGGGAGGACAGACAGTGGCGACATGAATGGACACATGAACTTCGTTCACTTGCACATTGCAAGGGCTAGGAAGGTGGGGCATAGAGGGGGCTGTGTCGGGGTGTTATTAAGAGAGGTCGGTCTCCGGCGGCGGCAGAGCTGAGGGTGAGGGGTGAAGGGACTGTGTAGTGTGGGCGGTGGGCAGTGCCGGTGGAAGGGTGGCTGGGCAGGGGGGAAAGCCGAGCCGGAGGATGCTGGAGAGGGCCGTCCGTTGGATTGAGTCCCACGAGCAGTGGGAAGCCGGGGGAGGGTCTTAAGTTGGAGTGCTGGAGCCG